CATAATAACAAAAATAGGTGCAATGGGACAGCATTACAGTTTTTACAGTCACTTTGGTCCATTTCTCAGATCAGAATTGAAGTTCTCCAAACTACCTGTTTAATCTTCACATCATTGTGTCACTTGTGCACATCAGAACAGCAGTTTCTCATTACTTTGAACAAAATACAAATGCTTTTGTACATTTGTGCAAATGATTAGTTGCAATTCTCTGCTGTTTCCTACATTACCAATTGATTATGTTTATCAAAATGTATTATTTTGGTCTCTGTTGAGTAGTCTCACCCCCATAACATTTACAGTTTTTCTTGTTTGCTTTTCATTTTCATTATCACTATCCCAGCAGAGCAGAAGACAGGTCTTGCAAATGTGTAAACTCTTTTTCATTGGATTGACAAATTTTCCCCAACATTTTTCAAAACAGTTAAAACACACACATGTCATTCAAGCAGCCCAAACTCCATTGTTTTAGCTAGGCTAACCAAACAGAAACCATCTATTACTAACGATTAGAAACTTTCAAGATCAGAATGACATCTCTAAAGCAGCTTTTTGACACTCCTTCACAGAAATCTGCATTAGGAATGCATTTTTTTGTATTTATATTATTTCCAATATGGTATTATTTTTAAATCGTTCTACAATTGGTAAATTTCTTCAAGATTATACTTGACTTTTTCTAATGAAGGTTTAAAAAGAGATTACCCTATGTTCACATTTCTACTTTTTTTTTTTTTTTTGTGCTATGCAGTGCTGTCTTTTCCTTTCTGTGTCACAATGACAAGATCTGTCAACAAATTACAGCACAAACAGCCAAAAAACAATATTGCCATAGTTTACGTCAGAACAGCCATCCAGAGTACACTGTTATTGACAACATAACAAAGTAATCTGACTGTCTTTTCCATACACAATGACACAAGGACCTGTCATTCTGAAGGCACTAACATGTTCATTGACACAGAAATGTAGTTTTGAGGGTTGAACCAAGGATTTTGAGCAGGAGATTGGCTTTTGCAAGGAATCCATGGTGTTTTGCTATTTGGACACATTGTTTTGAGAAATGCACTTACTGTTTTGCAAATTTCAGTTCTGAGAAATACTCTAAAGCGACTGAGAGAAACTGTAATTGACAAAGCAGCAGATTGACCACATTGCAAAAACTCTGAAATATTGTTTGGTCTTTCTGATATAAAAATCTGTCATCACAGTGTTTTGGAATTATTACTTCCCAGAATTGTCTTAAATGGCTGCACTCCTAAACAGTCTTCATGTTCTCAGGCACAATTCATTTATTGCAGTTTTTCTCAATTGCACACTTTTCAAAACAGACTTCACATTCTCTAAACTGGGATTGCAAATGTCAAAACGGTTTGCTAGAACTTCAGAGCTTTAATGCATATCTGCAAAATGTAGTTACTCCCCAAAAACATTTAATTTATGCGTTAAAACATAGTTATGATCAGTAATTTGGCCAAGGCTCTCAAAACATAAAGTGTATTTATCATCGTGTGAGCCACACTGCTTAAAATCATTAGGTGTTTTTTCACCATGACAGTCAACCATGGAATTTAAGGTTTAAAAAATCTGATATTTGTTGAGAAGAGTCAATAGTCATATAGTCAGAGGAAAAAAATGAACGTTTGTATTTACACAGTGCATTTATTTGTCTACAACTGTATTACATGCAAAGTGCAATCTTGCTTGCCTAATTACTGTATTGTATATTTCATATTGCTTATGTTACCACAAATACACAAAAAAATACTACAAAATATCATCCATGAAAAAAAAAAATTCTTGGTGGTCATCCTGTGGCTCTTTTGGGCCAGAGATTACTTGTCTTCCAATTCCTCTTCCATGAAGCTGCGGTCACACTGCACTTTTCTCCCCATAGACCTCTATTAATATGCACACTCGTGCAACAAGTTTCGCAGTTCGCTGTGTTGGAAAGTTCAAGCTTGGTGAACTCTGACCTGCGAAATCGCATCACATGCTTGCGTGAGACCAATCGAAGATCAAAACATGACCTCTCTGGACAGAAATTTAAAACATGGACCAATCGCTTGCTATTTTAATGTCTAATCATCTTGTTTAATCCTGCCTCTTTTCACAGCGCCCTACAACAGATTTTTGCTAGCTCAAACTCTAGTGCAGGGCTATTTAATCGGCGGCCCACGGGCCGAACCTGGCCCCCGAGGCAATTTGTTCTGGCCCTCCAAATAGTGTGACCAAGACATAAAAATATATTTATCATAAATAGGGATGCAACGATTAGCTGATTTCACTATTAACTGCGCTTTAATTCGTCACAGTTAATTAATTGTAAAAAGCCGCATTTCTGTTGCACGGAAAAGTTATGACAAGTTGCCACTTGTGCGCTAGTTTAAGGTTCCAAGTATGTTCACCGAAGCTAATACACGCTCACACCGGATTAACTATAGCAGCGGCCGTTCCCATATCTTGTCTTTTCCGCTTGCAAGTTTGTTATTTTTAATGTAAGAATGACAATATACACGCACAAGCAGAGCAATGCGCTTGCCTCTGTCCGGGTGCACCAAACTTGATTAGTTTAATAGATAATGCAAATTGTATTGCAACTAGAGGTCATTTAGCAATTTAGCAGACATTACAATGTCAATATCAGATATTTATGGTCTAAACGTGTGTATATAAATATTTGATGGTTAAATAAATAGTTTTGAGTCTGATGGCTTAAACAATTTTATTTAGAGATGTTTTTTTTTGGGGGGGGGGGGGGGGGCATAAAACATCCCCTTTAAAGGAATTCTCAGAAAAAAACACCAAATTTTAACGTAGGTTTCTAGTGATTAAACTGACTTTTTGTGCTATTTCCAACAGATTTTAAGACCTCACCCAAGGCTGGGGGTTTTCCAAATCGCTCATGGACACGATATAACCAGCAGGAGTCAGTTCATCCATCAGCAGACTATCAGCATAATGTTTATATTCCTGGAACTCCATCAACACTCTGTACACTCAAACTGGCTAACAATGGGGACATTGAGGTCTACAACTCATTCTCAACGTTTGGCAAAAAGAAAAAGCCAAACAATACCCTTCAGGAAGACGCCATAATAACAAATGATTTTTTCAAATGATATTTATAATGTTTTTTTTTTTTACCTGTAGTTCACTGTATATTTTAGTTGGAGCATAAGTGCTGTGTATGATTTTCTTTCAGAAATTTCACAACAAATAGCACCTAAAAGTACTCTGATGAATTTATTTTTGAAAATATCTTCAGTGATCAGAAACTTAACAAAAGTGTTTGACAGATGGGCGTTTTAACTGATAACTTATATAGGCTATATTATCCAATTTTATATACCTCTTGTTTCCAAAATGTACAGAATAAAAAGTAATATTAGAATTTATTGAATACACCTCTGTGGTATTTCTTTTTTCTTCTCATAAAAAATAAGGTATGTTCACACATATGAGGAGTTTGTTTTTGTGACAGAGCTTCTACAGTGCAACAGAAATACAGAGACAGGCCAAAAAACAAATAATAAATATGTTTTTAAATAGAAATAGTAGTGACTGCAAATATACAAATTGACAAGTGTATGCACAGGTATATTACTATATAAAAATTGTATATATAAATCAAATATTTTTATATATAAATTGGCAATATTTACACAACTATCAGTAATTTGTTGCACCATCCTCAGCCTTAGTGGACAGCCTCTGGTTTCCTGCTGCTGGCAACACAAATTCATGCATATATTCATGCTATACATAGTTAAAGTGCTCTTTAAGAGGGATTTTTTAACATAATTTAAAACATATTAGTTTTAAGAACTAATTTCTAATAAATATTTAGTTTTGTGTTTGCCATGATGACAGTACATACTATTTTACTAATTATTTTTCAGTATTCAACTTCAAGTAGAATTTAAAGCCTAACTTGATTAATTAGGCAGGTCATTGGACAACAATTGGACAACAATATATATATATATATATATATATATATATATATATATATATATATATATATATATATATATATATATATATATATATATATATATATATATATATATATATATATATATATATATATAGGAGCTAATAATATTGACCTTAAAATTGTTTAAAATATTAAGAAACTGCTTTTATTCCACCCAAACTAAAATAAATAAAACTTTATACGAAAGAAAAAAATATAGGAAATATCTGTAAACAGCACTTGGGAAATATTTGAAAAAGATAAAAAATTTTCCAGGAGGGTCAATTAATGTTTACATCAAATGTATGCACAACAACAATTTCTGTTATTATATTAGCCAATGATAAAAAGTAGCACTTTATTTTGAGGGTCTTTATTGCACATACTGATGCTTGTAAGAAAGACTATATATATCTGCTGACACTGCTTCACCAACAGACATTCTCCTGACTATAAGAAACTTTGCAAGTACATGTCATTGACATTGGCAGGTAGTGGCGATATAACTTAGAGATCAACAAAATATGTTAAAGGGATCGTCAAAATAAAGTGCATGGTACCTTACAAAAATCTTATTTTTCTTCTTGTTGTTATTATTATTCATGTTCAATAGCACTTAAATTAAAATCCCTAAGAAGTCATTAATGTTTACTTCATATTTTTGCTGTAAATTGTTAATTTTTCTTTGCTTCAAAATATACAGAGTAAAGAACGCTATTAGAATTGATTTAACTTGACAAATAAACAAATAATTAACTAATAAGAATATTTATTTTAGTCACTGTTAAACTAAAAACAATGAAAACTATTTCTTTGGAAATAGCTGAAATAAAAACACAATCCCATATGTATAAATACTTTACTCAGTAAATACAATAAATATTTAATAGTAAATATATATGTACATATAGTACATATTTACAATACAACATTACAATTTATTTACACCTCTGTGATTTTAGGAATGAAATAAAAATAATAATAAAATAAGTTTTTTTTTCATTAGTAAATGTATTTGTTACAAATAATATTTATAATATCTAGCTAAAAAAGTCGTTTCGATATTGAGGTTCAGAAAAAAAAAAATTTCATGTTTCTTGAAACATTTTCATTGTAAACACGATGTCGCTGCACTGTTGCTGTTCACTTTAAGGCGCACACAAGCACAATCTCCATGCTCTGCATCCACTGTGCTGTTGGACAGAGACTGAATCTGATCAGCGGGCGGGATCCACGGCACGGCGCTATGGCGATGCTCTGCTGGGCGCTTTTGAGAATCCAAATACTCCATTCGCCTTTAAACACACTGCTATATTTCTTGTAAAAGACCGAGAAAACATTGCAATGGCTCCAAGGAGAAGATGCCGTATCGGCTTGGTCGTCCTCTCCGCGGTGTGGAGTCTCGCCTCGGCAGTAACCAGATACTCCATCCCGGAGGAGATTCCAGTGGGCTCCGTGATCGCAAATATCGCCGCGGATTTGGGCCTGGACGCGCACAGCCTGTTGGAGCGCAAGGTAAAGCTGGATTATATTCATAGCAAGAAATACCTAGATATAAATAAAGACACCGGAGAACTGTTCATCGCTGAGGAAATTGACCGGGAATATTTATGCCCGGCCAAAACATCATCATTTTGCTTCCTCAAGATGGATGTGATAATCGAGAATCCAGTACGCATATTTAATATCGAGTTAGAAATAATGGACATCAATGACAACGCGCCTCAGTTTAGGAGGGAGAGGATACCGCTCGATATTTCAGAATCAGCAACACCCGGAGAGAGATTTTCTCTAACAAACGCGGTGGATGCTGATGTAGGAGAGAACTCAATAGAGACCTATTATCTCAGTGAAAGTGATGAGTTTACTATCGAAATCCAGTCTGGAAGTGACGGGACTAAATATGTAGACCTGGTGCTAAAAGCGAGTTTGGACAGAGAAAAACAAGCCCTTCATACACTGACGCTCACTGCTGTTGACGGCGGCACACCTGCGCGCTCAGGAACGGCCAGTATCATCATTCAAGTGCTGGATGTCAATGACAACGCCCCTCAGTTTGACCGACAGGTTTATTCGGTTGACCTCATTGAAAATGCACCAATTGGGACGTTGATTATGCATCTGAACGCCACCGATTTAGATGATGGCCTCAATTCAGAAATAACATACTCTTTTACATTATACACATCCGAGAAAACGCAAGAAAAGTTCTCGCTAGATCCCAACAATGGAGAAATACGAGTCAAAGACGTGATTGATTTTGAAGAAGTCAGAAGTTTTGAGATGTACGTTGAAGCCAAGGACAAAGCGGTTAATCCGCTTTCTGGTCAGTGTAAAATATTGGTGTTCATCACCGATTTGAACGACAACCAACCTGAGATTACCATTAAATCATTTCAAAGTTCGATTAAAGAAAATGCCCCAATAGGAACAGTCATCGCTGTTATCAGTGTGAGTGATAGGGATTCTGGAGATAATGGGAAGATTGTTCTCTCCATTCCCAATGCTTTAATGTTACCTTTTGCTCTTAATAAGTCATCTGAAGACTTTTTTGCATTAATACTTATTGAAGCGCTTGACCGTGAGCAAATCAACAAATATGACATCACACTTCACGCAACTGATAAAGGAACCCCTCCTTTGACTGATAATGAAACGATTAGTGTTACAATTCAAGACATCAATGACAATGCTCCAACATTCCCTCGGTCCATCTACACCATTCACCTAATGGAAAACAACGAACCGGGTGCACTGCTAGCCTCCCTAACCGCTCGTGATCCAGATTTGCATGAGAATCAATATCTTGTATACTTTATAATAGAAAAGGAAATAGCCAACACGTCAATGTCCATGCTCTTCTCCATCAATCCTGAAAACGGCAACCTCTACGCTTTACGAACGTTCGACTATGAAAGAGAGAAGGAGTTTCTGTTCCACATCGAAGCCAGAGATTCAGGTCTCCCTCCTCTCAGCAGTAACGTAACAGTTCACATCATCCTTATTGACCAAAATGACAACACTCCTCTCATAGTTTCCCCATGGCGTCCACAAGGCACAGTCATCGAGCAGAAAATCCCAAGGTCAAGTGAAAAAGGATCTCTGGTCACCAAAGTCATTGCGTTGGATGCTGACTCCATGCAGAACTCTCGCATAACATATCAGTTTCTCCAGATCACCGACACCCCTCTATTTAGCCTAGACCAGTACAACGGCGAGATCCGAACCACCAGGATGTTTAGTTACAGAGACCCCCGAGATCAGCACCTGGTCATCATAGCCAGAGACAACGGAGAACCTCCTCGATCCGCCACAGTGACCATCAAGATCTCCACAGTGGAGCAGGTGGTCACGCAGTTAACCGAAACCACAGAGGTTCCAATCGAATTTGACCTGATCACCGATTTAAACTTGTATTTGCTGATCGGTTTGGGTTCAGTCTTGTTTCTCCTGCTCATCACCATCCTGGTCATCATCGTGCTGAAATGTCAGGAGCCCAAACCCTCACAAGCAGCTCCCCAAGGAAGGAACAGCATTGCCAGCCAGAGGAACTCGTCCACCATTGCTGATTCAACTCTCATCTCGAGCGATGCCTACTGGTACAGTCTGTTTCTGGCAGAGACTAGGAAAGGAAAGGTGGTTGTGCGGCAGCCACTTCCCAATGGTACTGGGTTCATTGTGTCGAGTATTCCAGGAAGCGCTGCGCTGACTGAGACCAGTGCGTCAAGATCTTCCACTTTACAGGTACTGGAGTTGCTACTAATATATTTTTGAACCTGCATGGAGCTCTTAGGACTGTGCGATTTGGGGAAAATATCTAATAGAATTTTGTTTTTAAATAGATATTGTGATTTTTATTTGATTTGCGATTTAATTTTGTGGTCAAGCTTCAGCTCGATATTCGTAGTTTTTTACTGCAGTGAGTGTTAGTTAAAAAAAGGAACTGAAAAGATATTAACTTAAATTTTTGTTCAAGTTTGTTTTTATATATTCAGAAATGAAACACACATTTTTAGTAGTGAGTTATGGTGTAAGTTATCTCCTGGTGCCTTCGTGGTGTTTTTACATATGGTGTAACAGCTGCAAACAACGCTGAAGTTATACTTTGCCGTTGCTAGCTACCAGATTGAGTGTCACTGGTGATACTTTCAGTTGACTTTTTAGCATGGTCACTCCTCATACAGACCATTTCAATGTGGTTTAAACTATTTCATAACTGTAACTGAAAGCAATTCAATCGTAACTTACTGTTAAAACTGCTATCATAACATTATTCCAAAATATGTGGCTCTTTTTGGATTTTCGGAATCTATAGAAATTAAAAAGGTAAAACAGGAAATACATTGGGACTATTGTTTTTGTTTACATCCTTAAAATTGTCTATAACTGTCTGTGATGCTTTTTTAGCTATAGTTGTATTTCCTTGTGCTGTGGCAATAATTCTGCAACAGCTCTAACAAATGACCTGTTTTTGTTTGGTGTCTGTGACTTTAAAACCAAAATATATTCCCATATTACAGACATGCTGTTTTTCTTTGATATGAATTCATCTAGTAATGCTTTGATTTATTTATTTATTTATACATTTTTTAAATATTTCCCAAATAATGTTTAACAGAGCAGGGAAATTTTCACAGTATGTCTGATAATGTTATTTATTCTGGAGATAGTCTTATTTGTTTTATTTCGGCTAGAATAAAAGTATTTTTACATTTTTTAAAAAACATTTTAGGGTCAAAATTATTAGTCCCTTTAAGCTGTATATATTTTTCGATAGTCTACAGAACAAACAATCATTAAACAATAACTTGCCTAATGACCCTATCCTGCCTAGTTTACCTAATTAACCTAGTTACGCCTTTAAATTGCCCTTTGGCTGAATACGAGTATCTTGAAAAATATCTAGTGAAATATTTTATGGTCTGTCATCATGGCAAAGATAAAATAAATCAGTTAATAGAGATGAGTTATTAAAACTATTATGTTTAGAAATGTGTCGAATAAATCTTTTTCTTTTTTAAACAGAAATAGGATAAAAAATAAACAGGGGCTACTAATTCTGACTTCAAGTATATATTTCATATCACAGCCTCTTGTTATTAGCTAATTGCAATGTTTCAAATTGCGATTGCGATTCAGTTTTGATTAATCACACAGTCATACTTAAGTTGCACTGGTATAAACGTAGGAATAGGAAACAATACAGTGTATTAGTCAAAGTGATTGCTTTTTCTTTTGTGCCAAACACACTTTGAATATTAAGCAAAGAGCATGCTACATGAAGAACAATTTCTCATCATAAATATATCAAAACACATTTTTTGATTTGAAATATGCATCTAATATGCTTCTATTTCCTAATATTTGGATTTTTTTAAACTTTCAGACTGAAAAATAGTTGTATCTCAGCCAAATATTGTCTTATCATAAGAAATCACTCATCAGTGGAAAGTTTTTTTGTAATCTCGATAATAAAAAAAGACCTTTATGACTGGTGTTGTGATCCATGGTTGAATTTAGCCCTATATACACAGTACATAGTGTTAATAAGTGTTTGTTCATACTTGGCAAGTTTGGTTGATATTGAAATAAGCTGTATTGCTAATGCTTTGGTATTGTGATTCATTTCAATAAGTGTGAACAGTGCTATATACAGTGCTCAGATATGAGTACACCCCATTTTGAAAATGAACATTTTTATCCATTTGAATATGGGTAATATATATTGGTGGATTTAAACAAAACAGATTTGTTAAAAATATATATTTATTAGAATTATATTTTAGTCACAGAACATCTTTAGAAATGTAAAGATAATACATTTAAATTCATGCAAAATATTGCAAAAAAGAAAAAAACAAACTTAAAAATTTCAACAAAATTTTATTTTAATGCTATTTTTTTAATTTGTATTTAATATTTTTCTATAACATATAAATGTTATAGAAAAATATACATTGGATCAGTCATGGTTCAGAACCATTATTTTGTTAGATTAGCTCCAGATATGGCTTCAGTACTGACTAATCTACTGTATATGCATGAATATAACATTGTAAAGCATTCCACAAAAATATTAATTTAAATGAGAGGGGGTGCACTTATATATGCTGAGCACTGTACATTAAACAAGTGGATTGAGACTTGTCTTGATCTGCTTAAAACAAACTCTGGACTAGTTTGACTTAATGAGAGTGTGAATGCAACTACAACACAAGTCACGGTTCAGAACTCCTCTGTTGCACAAGAAAACCACTGTGACAGGATTTCTGCAAAGGAACTTTTTCTTTGGACTGAACAATACTCATTATCCCTAGAATGCCTACCTTCAAGTTTACCTTAAATTGATAGCAAATTTAACTAATACTTACAAATATTTGCAACTAAGACAATAAACAAAACATGACAATTTCTAACAGAAAACCAAAATAGTTTTAAAATAAAATACTTATAAATAAGCTTAAAAATGAAGTCAAAAGGTGAACATATAGGCCAATTTGTAATTACTTTAATGTAGTAGCACAAAGACCCTTTACATTTGGCAAAATTAGGTTCATTCATTTATTTATTTTCTTTTTGGATTAGTCCCTTTATTAATCAGGGGTCGCCACAGCGGAATGAACTGCCAAATTAGGTATGTTTGTGTTTTAAATGATAAAATAGTACATAGCATTCAGGATTATGAAACAGTACTAAAATATTTCATGCGATGAGTCCTTGTAAACCAGACTTCAAACATACAATAAATTTATTGTTTCTTTTGCATTTTGGTCGTAATTGTAGTCTTTTGGTTAAAATAAAAATGGAAGTTGTTTTTAAAAGTCATATTATAAGTAAAAAGAGCAATAAAATTCATTTCTTTTGGATAAATCTGATACAAAGTTGGACAGGCAGTGCTAATGCTTCAGAATGTGTCTAAATTTGGATGTGAGTGGGATGCGAGTCTGACATGCAGTGCTACTGGTGTGAAAGAAGAATGAGATATGAGCACTGGCACTCAGATGTTTTGCACACATTTTGCAAATATGCTGTGACAGAAAAAGTGTTTCTTACTTTCTTATATAAAATATTTAAAGTGATGTAAGTTTAAAGTTTTAGAGGGTTTTAATCAGTGTAATCAGTGCAAATCTGTCCTCAGAGGTTAATGTACAGTGAGCTTCTTTATACACTAAAAAACATTGCTGCTTGTTTCATTTACTTATTTAAAATGAGTTGAAATATAATAATTCTTACAAGTTTTTAGGACAACTTAATTGTTTTATTTTCATTTTAGCTAATTAAAAAAAAAGTTACCAGTACAGGACTATATTGTTGTTGTTTTTGTTTTGTTTTTGTTTCGTTGCTTTGTATTTGTTATTTGTTGATTTTTTCTTCTATTTGTATGATTGTTGCATATTCTAATTAAAAAAAAAAAAAAAAAGTTAACTCAATCGATTTGTATTCGGACAACATGAAGTAATTGTGTGGAACCCAGCATTTCAATTGGATTTCAATTCAGTCAATTGGATATACAGTTGAAGTCAAAATTATTAGCCCCCCTGTTTATTTTTTCCCCACATTTTTGAACATAATTTAAATAATATTTTACTAGATATTTTTCAAGACACCTCATTACAGCTTAAAGTGACATTTAAACGCTTTATTAGGTTAATTAGGTTAGGGCAGGCTAGGGTAATTAGGCAAGTCATTGTACAACGATGGTTTGTTCTGTAGACTATCTAAACAACATAGCTTAAAGGGGCTGATAAATCTGACTTCAACTGTATACACATAGAATGGGTCAAAGATGAGTTTTCCAGTATTTAAACAAACAATATTTTAAAGGGGTATTCATTTAAAACTTTACAGTTTTCTTTAATTGTTTAAAAAATCTAATCTACAACACATACACTGCCAATGAACTTTTTTATTTTCATGGAATTTTTAATCTTGCAAATAGCAAATAGCATTTTACATTTTACAACAACCTACACACCATATGCAATCCTATCTAGCCCCAACAAAACAATCCCCAAATAAAACAATCAACATCTGAAAAAAAATATATTACAAAATATAAAATATATACAAATACAGAAAAAAAAACATATGCGTACAAATACATACACATACAGTTGAAGTCAGAATTATAAGCCTTCTTTTTTTACATTAATTTTCAATAGTAAATTTTCAAATTTACGCAGTATGTTTGATAATATTTTTTATTCTGGATAAAGTCTTATTTGTTTTATTTCGGCTATAATAAAAGCAGTTTTTAATTTAAAAAAAAAAACCTTTTTAAGGCTTTTAATTTAGGGATTAAAGGATTTCTATTTATTTACTTGTATTAATGTGTGTAAATTTATTTTTATTCAGTTTTTAAAATAATTTCTGTAACCTTATTGACCAATATGAAAATGTTCATGTGATTTATTTACAATACAGTTTGTTAAGTAATATATATATATATATATATATATATATATATATATTTATTTATTTATTTATTTATTTTATAAGAGACTTGCTTTCTTTTCCAATTAAGTGGATCTAATTGGATTTGCATGGTAAGCATTCAATAAAAGATATCACACATATCACAAATCGAATATATTTTTAGAAAGTTTGGCCTTTGAGAGATGAGCTCTGTGAACTGTTTTAAATTGTATAAAACTGAGTCTAGTCTACAAAGTGGATTTGTGCACATTGTTTAATACTGCACTGCAGTAGTCATCTTCAATCAAATTTCTCTTCCCAGGCCCTGATAGCTTTAATGTTATGAGAGTTATCCTTGACAAGATAATTGACCATATCTTAGAAATTATCCCACTCATATGAGTATTAAATTCAATGCATATTTTTTGCATTAATAAATGTTAAAATCGAAAATATATTTTTAAAAATCCTAGCCATATTAAATGCAATGTAATAATTGAAATAGAACACACAGATTAGCTTTCATTATATTTGAAGTTCCAATCACAGTATGACAAGCATTGATGTGCTCAGCGGGTCTGCAGCCTTGACTCTGTTTGATTAACTGTGTTTCCATCTATTGCCAGGAGTCCAGCAGTGATTTACCGTGATCTGGACAAGTTGACTGATGGATTACAAACTTCCGCACACAGTCTATCCATCCACTGGGACAAACTGATCTTCTTTTCCTTCGTTTTCAGGGCTTCATTCAATTCAAGACTATGATGGATCTACTTTGAAACCAACCCTTTTTTTTGTGTTTAGCTTTTAATATTCTTTCATTTTTAGGTGTTTATTGTTTTATTATTTCATTCAATTATGTTACTCATCATCTTCCAAGCACTTGCATATCTTGTGTCAGACAGGAAAGACACAACTTCATTCAATTATTTTCCTCATCCATGATTCTTCTGCCTTTACTTTTTACATAATACATTTGAATTGACTGTTTGGATATCAAGACCAGCATTGTGTCAGATCCCATATTTGTGGCGACTGTAACAGATATATGTCAGCCACTTGTAACCACATTGAGCATGACTTTGCATGGCTAAGACAAACAATGGACCTTTTGTATCTACAAGATTTCTAAATAGACTCTGTGACAGATACAGAAGCTATTATTCGTGACTACCAGAAGAACTTTTACCTTCTTGTGGTTTCAGTTACAAATGAACTACAAAGCCAGCTGGTAAATAGATTGTAAAGATTGAGTTCTGGTAGGAACGACACTCTATTTTTACATTGAGAAAACTTTGATCAAATGAGCACAATCTAATGAGCCAGGCATTGTTTATACCTCAAAACAATTGGTTTTGACAGCTATGTGGTGCACATGTATTATAGGTGATCCATGTTTTTGTTTCCTCCAGTCTACTAAATGGTATAAATTACCTGAATATTGTCTTAAGCACTTTGCTTTGTAAGTGTATGTGAGGATCTATAGGGAGTTTTACACATTTTGTCATTAGAATAATATGCATATGTTGTAAGAGAAAATTCTGTGTTGGGATTTTTTTTCCCTTCAAGGTGTCAACAATAATTTGGGCCATTCTGGAAATCAGATTTCCATGAACAATACTTATAATCATCAGAATTTCTTTATTGGGTACCATAAATAAAATTACCTAAAATTGCTAGCAAATGTAACAAAAAATGAGACACAGAGGGGAAAAAACATTGAACATGCCAAACAAGCAGAATTGAGTGCATGTACAAGACATTAAAATAAAAACAGCTGAACATTGAACTATACATTTACAAAACAAAGTGTTCTTTGGGCTTAAAAATTACACTGTGTCTACACACAATGTTGCTTGTGTCGCATTGTGCTGCAACAGCTAGAAGCTTCTGCACTGGTGAATGTTTCAAATCTGTTTGTTCTTCGCATCAGAAATAACAGGAGCACTCAAAGTACATCAGAGAAAAGAAAGCTTAAGATGTCCTGCCAGATCCAGTGATGATAAAATCACAGGTTTTACAACAGGTTTTATATCACCTTTGCACTATCTTCCGACAAATTATTGGCACATTTCGCCCTCTAGTGACAGTCACATTGACGTTTACAATTGGCCTTGGCTCATTTATCATGGTAAATGTAATACATTTCATGAATAATTACACATTGATGATTCATGAACAATGACCACATTGTGGCTGAAATAGGATAAAAATTTTTACACGAACAGTGGTCCTTGTGTAGCTTTTTTGAGGAAATTACTTACAAAACGCTTCAAATTATACAATTAAAATCAATATGACCGAAAATATATAACAGGTTAAAATATTAATTTAAAGTTGTTGGTTATGTCTAACAATATATTTACATTTTTTGTAACTTTTGGTAATAATAATAATAATAATAATAATTTCTTATATTTATATATCACTTTTCTGGATCATTATAGATTTTTTTTGGGGGGGGGGGGGTGGGGGGGGATCTTCTGGTCCACCTGCGCTTTAGACATTTTTCGGGGTAGTCTTCTCATTCTTAGGGCCTACTCACACTATGCCATCCGTACCGTGCCCAGGCCCGTTTCCCGGATCGTTTTGAGAAGTGTGAGTGCGCTGAATCGGGCTCAAGCACAGTTCACTTGGCCGGCCCTGGCCCGGTTGGAAGAGGTGTGCCTGAGCGTGGTTCACTTGGGCTTTGGCGCGGTACGCTTGTGTGTGAGTGCAAAACGTGCCAAAGCCCGAAACTGAAAGCGAGACGTGACTTTTAAGGGACTGTTTCATATGGATTTATTAATCATTCTTACTGTTCAGTAAACGCAAACTGCCGTAGTTTATTAAAGACGCAAACCCCTCACTGCACGACAGCTGCACGCCTTCAGCAGACATCCTCATTCCTGCAGCACGAGGGCTTTATGATTGTTTATGAGTGCCAAAAGTGGCGGATCTGTTCGGCGAAATATCTGACTGCGTGTCCCCGCATCCCTAAGAACTGTTTGGCGAAATATTTAACGGCATATCAAATACTGAAACGATATAACTAGAGAAATCTCCACTGTGCTGCTGAGTGAGAGAGCGCTTCTCACTGAACAGCCCAGCAGCGATGACGTAAGCGTGCCTAAGTTAGTTTAACATAGGACCCACACAAAACGCAGGTTGAGTGCCACCTGCTGGTCTCACTAACACCACTTCCGCAAAACAGCTTTCCCATGGTCTCTTATCCAGTCACTGACCGGGCGCAGAGAGCTAGTTGCAGAAAGCTAGCTGCTGGGCAAACTTTTGGTAAAGTTTTTCTGTACAAATTCTGCCTAAAAATGTTGAATTAAGGTTCAACTAAAGCATATACAATCGAGTAACAAACCCCAGAGCTCAAAACCAAATCAGAATAAAAAATACAGTTTGCACATATGGCTAAAACTTCAATTTTACTACTCTCAGAAGTGATTTTTTGGAAACAGCAGAAAAGTGGCTTTATTGTCTTTAGTTGTGTTTTATAATGCTGCTTGCATCCATGTAGACACAGTGTAATTTTATAAAGAGTAATATTTACATCAACATTGAAATAGCATAGTGATATATATGGAATATACATACAGTGCTCAGCATAACTGAGTACACCTCATTTTAAAAATGAATATTTTTATCCATTTCTCAGTGAATATATAGGCAATGTATTTTGTTGCATTTAAACAAAACAGATTTATTAAACAGGCATATTTATTAAAATAATATTTTAGCCACCAAACATATATAGACATCGAAAGATAATACAATTAAATTCAAGCTAAATATTGCAGAAATAACTTACAAAATGCTTCTATTTTTTGCTTTTTGATTTTTGCTCTTTTTTAAATTTGTAATAATATTTTTCTATAATATATAAATTTGGGTGCACAAGTTTTTAGACAATTATTGTAAGTTATTTAATTTGGTAAATTAGCTCCAGATTTGGCTTTAGTACTGACTAATCTAATGTAAAGTAAATGCAGAAATATAATATTGTAAAGCTTCCTATTAAAAAAAATTTGAATTTATAAGATAGATTGTGAAGGGTGTACTTACATATGCAGAGCACTGTTATATATATTTGGAAAATTCAGATGCAAAAGTGCTATTTGAATTTTTATTAACATTTCTCTCAGGCTCGTGTGTAAGTTCAGTTTTGTGGCAAAGACTTTGTTCTTATCAATGCATTTAAAGTGATATAAGTGATTGTAAACAAAGGAGATGAGGAAAAAAAAGCTCTTCAGACAACACAATATCCATTGTACAATGTGCAAAAACAACAAAAGCATTTATGAATCTACCTTTTTGCAGACATATGTAGCCAGTGCTCAAATATCACATTGGGGCAAATAATTGACATCAATAATAGGCTATACATTTTTTGTATAAGAATCAACAATTGTACTATTCGTTGTCATTTTGGCCTTGTTTACTAACGTTTTTGAGGTTTATATTGTTTTGTATTATAAAGATATAAAATGCTTGTTAGTGTGTGTAATGCTGCTTCTTATATGAAAACACTGCAGTTTTTAAAGCCATTATTATTATTCTTTGTGGTGAGATATTTGCATTTTTTTCTTAACTTAAATATAATTCTATCATCACAGAAATAAAATCAGTAGTCGTTTCCTAGTATTAAAACTTAATTTTGCTGCTAAAGAGAAAGTGTCAATATGGAAGGAATGAGAATAGTGCAACAAAAACTGTGTAGGAGGCTCAAGGAGAAACAGAGACAGAGAAAATCAGCAATATAGGTCACTTGAAATATGCGATCTGTATTTAGATGGAAACACAGAACAACACTATACATGATCCTTAACATTGACAGCCATGTAATTCAGTTTACCTTCCTGAAAGACGACAGCTCAAATTTAGAGTTGTGCTCAGCAGATTTGAGAATTGAAACTGCTTTGTGCCTTTAGCTGTTTGCTTCAGGGCAGAGAAAAGTGTGCCTGAAATTCGAAATGGTGTTAATACACTATCATAATCTCATTAACATGCCTTGAGTTATTTGTTTGCGTATATATTTGCTTTCTGTTGCCTTATATGCGAAATGTCCTTATGCAAACAATGCCTTTTTTGTCCTTGCTGGACTTTATGGTTTGCGCTTTGCTTGTAAATACAGCAAATGTGAATAAAATCTTTTTTAGTATGTTTCAGACTCACTGATTTGTGTTGCGCAAGTATGTGTGAGAATGTGTGATCGCATTATGACAAAACTCACACCGTTTTATTGATGCTGACCTAGGCAACACGGTCTCCTAGAAACAGTCGCCATGGCAACCCCTTCATCTCTTCAGAGTTAAAAAGCACTGCATTTTTAACCAACACATATTGTCTGTTTCTCCTTTCTCGCTTTGGCTTTTTTTTTTTAAAAACACACAGATGCAGATTCACATAGAAACGTACTGTATTTTTTGGCCTTCATAAATAAAAATAATAGGATTCATTGTACATCTCAGTACTGCATCAAACGTCTTATAACGGATTGTTATTACTTCTTAATAAAGAGCAAGTATGAAACAATTTCAAAGTTTTGAAAATTACCACACTTTAGTATAAATAATAATTATAAAAATAAATGTTTAAAAAACAATGATAAAATTACAAGCATTCATTCATTCATTTTCTTTTCGGCTTAGTCCCTTTATTAATCAGGGGTCGCCACAGCAGAATGAACTGCTAACTTATCTAGCATATGTTTTTTTACACAGCAGATGCCCTTCCAGCTGCAACCTATCACTGGAAAACATCCATACACTCTCATTCACACCAACACTATGGACAATTTAGCTTACTTAATTCACCTATATCACATGTCTTTGGACTTGTGGGGGAAACCGGAGCACCTGGAGGAAACCCACACAAACATGGGGAGAACATGCAAACTCAAAAACACTCACTGGGCCACCATGCCTATATGTCTGACCAATTGTAAATTATTAGAAAAGAATTAAACTCATGACACTCACAACAGCTCAAAAATATTTACATCTATGAAGCTGGCATATTTATTTTTAACAAATCAACTTAAATATTACTGACATTTGTTTTAAACTAAAAACATGTTTTTACCTATACATAAACATAGTTTTAGATATTTAATACTATTATTTAATAGTATTTATTACTTTTTTTTTTTTACAGGAACCCAAAAATAATAATACAAAAAGTATTTTGATACCTAAAGTTATTCCATTCACACCAATACTAAGCAAACATGTCTTGAATATGTAACATTTTGTAATGGTTTTAACTTAAATAAATAAATAAATAAATAAATAAATAAATAAATAAATAAATCAGGAAAACACCGAGTACTTTTTGGGTCTATATTCTTAGATACAATAAGCTGCCAATTAATATTTCGAAAATGTTGGTATGCTCTTACTATTGCTCTGTAATTTTCAGAATGCAAACAACATTCTGATGCTTTCTGATTTTTATTTATTTATTTTTTTTTTTTGGAGGGGGGGGGGGGGGGGGGGGGGTTAGTTTGAATATATTTGAGAGTATATTTTGTTATTACTGCAAATGTACATATATAATATCTACATAGAGCGTGATAAAGCCGGATGTGGTGTCAAACGGACAAGAGAAAATTTCTGCTGACATTGTTATACATGTTTGTGCCACTAGTAGGGACTGTTTAGCAAGCATTTTAAAACTTGACATTGCAATTGCAGATCTGTCTGACAGTCTCGCACCTCAGCCCCGCAGTGTCTGCTGCTATGTGTGTGTGGCTTTCGTTGCACGTAATATACCTACTTCCTTGTAAACGCCGTTTCCTAGACCGAAGTAAAACATAATTATAATTTGAGGTGATTGCGACGTCTTATCTCACAGCTCTGAGATTTCCCTTGGAGTTCTGTATGTATGTTTCCCATTTTTAAGTTTAGATCTCAAAGTTTTCTGACTTTTCCACCCACATTAGAGTTTGTACCTCGCTATAAGGTTCTTCAGAGTGCTGACTTCTACAATCATAACTCATAGTTTGTTATAGTTGTAGTTTTTATCTTTTTAAAGTAATTGCAAGATAAAAAAATTGAATACTAGAAGTTTTACAATTTTATAAAAAAAGTCGCCCTTTATTATTCTTATTATTATTACAATTTTTACTAAATAGTAATTACAATAATGACATAATACTAAATAAATCAAATCTGTTTATACACACACACACACACACACACACACACACACACACACACACACACACATACACACACACACACACACACACACAATACAAAACTTTAATATTACAAATGACATTACAAAATATCAAACATGTTAAATAAACAAAAGCAAAGAATTATTAAAATATCCATCATAACTTTGCAGAGATAAATCAACAGGGGTTTAAATTGTTCCACACAAACATAAACACACTTCTGTAATTAAGAAAAAAGTAAGTTACAGTTCAAAGCTTCATGGAATCATCATTAGCCTTTATACATTCATTGCTGCACTCCTGAATATGTGAGTTAAACATGAGAATATATAATACCAAACAACTCTGATAGCTTCTCATTTACAGGTCAGTGAGTTACAGCTGGAAATAGTCAAATTGTTTCTCAACTTTTTTATGCAGTCACATAATCTGTTATTCTCCTCTGTGAAGTCTTTAATCCTGTTTTGTAAGTAGGTTTTATTACTTTCAAAGTCATTACATAAGTTTTTTTTCTCTTCCATGAGGTATGTATTGTTGGTTTGTGACTGGTAAAGCTGAGCACGTTGCACTATGATGAAAACCAGCAGAAGAAAACACAGAAGTGCAAAAAACACTGCAATTGCTCTGTCTTTTCTATTCCACGGGGAATCACTTCCTAAAATGACAAAAATGACACTTTTTTATTCTACATTTCTGTATACATCTCTCTTTGTTTTACTCAGAATTATCACTATAAGATGAGTGTGCAGTGAAATGTTTGAAGTCTCTTTGAATGAGAAACCTCGCTCTCTAAATGGTGATCATCATCATTCATGACTAAATTGGCATAATTTTTTTCTAAATCATCCTCAAGCAAGTAAAGAAAAACAACCACCATGACTTGAAATTAAGTCATGCTTAACTTGTTTAAGACAAAAACAAATACAATTAAAAGTGGTGCAGAGAAAATTTTCCACTTTTAATTATTATTAAAATTAATTCTGGTTTCTTAATATAAAAATCTGATTGTTTCTTAATTATTAGAATACATTACTTATACCCTAATTATATATATATATATATATATATATATATATATATATATATATATATATATATATATATATATTAATGTGTGTGTGTGTGTGTGTGTGTGTGTGTGTGTGTGTCCATGCATGTATAAAACGAGTCCGTACCTTTGGATTGAAATGTTTGAAGACTCTTTGTCTGAGAAATCTTCATCTCTGTTCTGTGATCATCATTATTAGTGATGTCTACATTGGCATAAATCCCCACATCTTCTTGATCTTCTCTATCCATTACTTGTGGTTCAATGAAGATTGTATTGGCTTTTCGTTGGTCTTGAATATTTTGGCCAAATGAAAGTGACTTTAGGAGGACTGCACTCTTCTGTGCTATTCTGTTTTTTTTTCTATCATGTTCTAAAAAAGAAAGAAGTTGAGGTCCAAAGTGTCAGCGATATACACACGCAACTCAAGTCTGCATCCACATCCCTTTTTACACTGTAGAAATCTATCTATCTATCTATCTATCTATCTATCTATCTATCTATCTATCTATCTATCTATCTATCTATCTATCTATCTATCTATCTATCTATCTATCTATCTATCTATCTATCTATCTATCTATCTATCTACCTACCTACCTACCTACCTACCTACCTACCTACCTACCTACCTACCTAGCTATCTATCTATCTATCTATCTATCTATCTATCTATCTATCTATCTATCTATCTATCTATCTATCTATCTATCTATCTATCTATCTATCTATCTATCTATCTATCCATCCATCCATCCATCCATCCATCCATCCATCCATCCATCCATCCATCCATCCATCCATCCATCCATCCATCCATCCATCCATCCATACTGTAAAAGATCTGTGCTCCAAATAAGATAATAACCATTTTAGAGTTTTTTGTCAGTGGCTTTGGTGCATTTCTCACAACACTATTTACATTTGCACAACAGTTAATGAATTTATCAAAACAATTGATACAAACTGCAAAACCTAGTCGATAACCTGCAAAAGTGTGTCACCTGCTCAAAATAGATAGTTCATTCCTCAAAAGCAAGTATTGATGTCAGTGTCATCAATATGAAAAGTCCTGACACCATTGTTTTTGAACAAGATAATCAGATGGCTTTGTCATGTTTTCATTATGACAGTTTACTCTGTACATTTTTTCAATGCAATAAAGTCAGATTTTGGTGACCTTTCCTGAAAATGCTCAAGACAGCACTATATACTGTTTGCACAGCCATTTGAAAACTACAGTAAAGTTAGACATCACCGTATTTAGTGAGGTATCCGAGTACAAGACACTGAATATGTATGTTTCACATTTTTACTGCATTTGCTCTTTGCAATTTTAATTTAGTCACAACCTAGTGCAAAAGAATATATACCCTTTATCTACAAAAAACATAAACCTCTTTTGGATAGAACTCTGCACAACTGTAAACAATATTGCTGTACATATTTACTGTAAAAATAAAAAGTTGAGTTGACTTAAAATTGTAAAGCAACCGGTTGCAAAGAAATTTTGAGTTTGTTAAGCTTCAGAGGTTGAAGACATGCCAAATATTTTTTTTAAGTTGACTGAAAAGGCTGGTTTAAGTCAAGTATACTTTACTGAATAATTTGGCATAAATTCTACCATCGAAGCTTAATAAACTCAAAATTTCTTTGCAGCCAGTTGCTTTAAAATTTTAAGTCAACCAAACTTTTTATTTTTACAGTGACACCCAAGTGAAGAAATCAAAATTCAAAGTCTCCTCTACTGATTTTTTACTTTCATTGAACAAACAGTTCCAAACATGCAGTTTAATTTGTTTTTATAAGTAAATTCAACTCTGAGATCAAAATATGTCCACCTAACTTACAATTTTAAATTGAGTTAACAATTTGTAAGCTAGATTTTTTTACAATGTTGGAACTGAACCTACAACATACAGAGGTCTGAAAATCATGCATGAAATTGTTTATTTTAGAAGACACTTTAAAAAGATTTAAATATTTTTATAAAATTTGCTTGACAGATTTTGATAACTAGTTCAAAATTTTTGTATGTAATGACTCAAGTAATGAAATGAGGACTATTAGTTTTATATGGAATGACTATTAGTCATTTACAAGTTTAGTTAATTTTAATACAATACAGGGAACATTTGTGTTTCAGTCCACAATATGAACAGCTGTTCGCTTTGACTTTAGCCTATATAAGTTCAGTTTAAAACATGATGTTTTCTGTTCTGACATACTGTGTAAAAACATTTGTAAATTTGACTGTAAAATTACATTGTTTTGGTCTTGTTTGGGCCTGTGTGTAAAAGAAGTTCAAGCATTTGAAATTGGTGTAAACTCTATGCATTTTGTATCAAAGCAACAAGAAATGTGTACCAGTTTTTCTCAGTGGCTTTGGTTCATTTCTCACAACACTATTTACATTTGCACAACAGTTAATGCATTTTATAAAACAGCAGAGAGTAGTATGAAAGCATTTGATGCATGTCCAAAAGCATTTGCAATGTGTTGGAAGGAATGAGAAACTGCTACTACGATGTGCACTATTGACTAATTGTATTGAGAAATGCATTGACTGTTGTGCAAATGTAAATAGGGTTGTGAGAAATGCACTAAAGCGACTGAGAAAAACTAATTGAATAGTCTACAAACATGGATGTTGTGCTAACCGTGTTAAGAGTTTAAGAAACTTGTTAAAAAGTATTGCATTCAGCTAGAAAAAACTAAACTCTAGCTGAACTAAAATTTGAGCTTGTGAAATTGTGTGATATGACACTGCGAAAAGGGGCAGGGTTAAAAAAGATTAGACATTTAAAAAGCAAACGATTGGTTAGTATTTTAAATTCCTGTCCTGATAGGTCATGTTTTAATCCTCGATTGGTCTCATGCAATCAAGTGATGTGATTTCGCAGGTCAGAGTTGACAAAACCTGAAGCACGACTTTACAATTCCGGTCTGACACATTAGCGTGCTTATGAATGGAAGTTTATGGGGAGAAAAGTGCAGTGTCACTGCAGTTTTACCCAGAATTGTTATACCAGTGACAATTTTATAATGACAAATTCATATTAAAAATTACCTGGGACAATGCATTTAACCACATTATACTAACTTACATCGCATTAACCAATTTATACCTTTTTTTTTTAACAATTGTTTTATTGTAAAGGAATTGTAGTTTCCAAAAGTAAGCTAGAATTTAAATGAATCAACAATTCATTGAGTCGTACGACATGACTAAAAGGACCTTCAGGAAAATAAGATCAGTGATTATTTATTATTATTTTAATAGTAGGTTCTTGAAACATGCATTTCTTTAATAGGACAACAACGGTAGTGGAAAATATTACCTCAATATTCTTTGAAAGCACCTTTCTTTCATAAATAGTTGTAGGTACAAGCAGTTTTTGGAATCAAATGTATTTAAAACTAAAATTGCCACATTAATGACGCAAAAGGGTGAAATAATGCAACAAAGTTTTGAAATATAGAAACCTAAATATTTAGTGTAAGATTACCGTTGATTAAAAGGACAGATGAGAGAAAAAAAAAATCCTTTAGGTCCAAATCAAACAAGTCTTACTTGCCAACATTATAAACAATTTAGTGGATTTGAAATAATCAGTTTGTTACATACAGAGAAAAAAAAAAAATATTCTAAATCAACAAAAAAATAAATTGATTCATGCTTGGAAAAAATCTTAATTTTATTGGAAACATTGCACCATATGGCAGTTTAACAGTTTTCTAATCCTTGACAGAGTAATAACGTTTTAGGGTAGAAAAGCTGCTGGAAGGATTCGAAAAGTCACCGGTTGAGGTTTGGAGGACAGAAGATGAAGATCCCGTAGAAGACGCATCTTTGGCATTTTGAGGCTGGATTAGTCCACCATAGCTTCCTTGCAAAGTTAAAGGAGCAGAGGAACCTGTCTGAGAGCCATAGACAGCAGTAATCTTCTTTAAACTTGGCACAGCTGACTGACTAGTAACAACTGGTGGCATTGATACAGATACGTATGGGTTTGAAAGTCCATAAACAACCTGGCTTGATGAATCTCGACCCTGGAGTAGTTCTTGCAAAGTGAAAGGGACAGAGGATCCTGTCTGGGTGGTATAGACTGAGGTTAACTGATCCAAGTTTGGCACTAATGTTGACTGACTAGTAACACCTTGGGGCAATGATACAGCAACATATGGGGTTGAAGGTACTGAAACAACCTGGCTTTTTGAACCTTTACCCTGTAGTAATTTTTGCAGAGTGAACGGAGCAGACGAACCAGTCTGAGTGCCATAGACAGAGGTAACCTGCTTTGAACTTGGCACAGGGGTCAACTGACTAGTAACAACTCTGGGCAATGATACAGATACGTATGGGGTTGAACCATAAACAACTTGGCTTATTGAGTCTGAACCCTGGAGTAGTTCTTGCAAAGTGAAAGGGGCAGAGGATCCTGTCTGGGTTGTATAGACAGAGGTAACCTGCTTTGAACCTGGCCCAGGTGTCAACGGACTAGTAACAACTTGGGGTGATGATACAGATACATATGGGGTTGAAGGTACTGAAACAACCTGGCTTGTTGAATCTTGACCCTGGAGTAGTTCTTGCAGAGTGAGGGGAGCAGAGGAATCAGTCTGAGTGCCATAGACAGAGGTAACCTGCTTTGAACTTGGCACAGGGGTCAACTGACTAGTAACAACTTGGGGGAATGATACAGATACGTATGGGGTTGAAGATCCATAAACAACCTGGCTTGTTGAATCTTGACCCTGGAGTAGTTCTTGCAAAGTGAAAGGGGCAGAGGATCCTGTCTCGGTGGTATAGATGGAGGTTATCTGCTTTGAACTTGGCACTGCCGTCGACTGACTAGTAACACTTTGGGGCAATGATACAGATACGTATGGGGTTGAAGATCCATAAACACCCTGGCTTGTTGAATCTTGACCCTGGAGTAGTTCTTGCAAAGTGAAAGGGGCAGAGGATCCTGTCTGGGTGGTGTAGACAGAGGTTAACTGCTCTGAGTTTGGCACTAATGTTGACTGACTAGTAACACCTTGGGGCAATGATACAGCTACATATGGGGTTGAAGGTACTGAAACAACCTGGCTTTTTGAACCTTTACCCTGTAGTAATTTTTGCAGAGTGAACGGAGCAGACGAACCAGTCTGAGTGCCATAGACAGAGGTAACCTGCTTTGAACTTGGCACAGGGGTCAACTGACTAGTAACAACTTGGGGCAATGATACAGATACATATGGGGTTGAACCATAAACAACTTGGCTTGTCGAGTCTGAACCCTGGAGTAGTTCTTGCAAAGTGAAAGGGGCAGAGGATCCGGTCTGGGTTGTATAGACAGAGGTAACCTGCTTTGAACCTGGCCCAGGTGTCAACGGACTAGTAACAACTTGGGGTGATGATACAGATATGTAAGGGGTTGAAGATCCTAAAACTAATCGACTTGTGGCATCTTGAGTCTGGATTTGTCCACCATATGTGGTACTTTCTTGCAAAGTAAAAGGGGCAGAGGATCCTGCCTGGGTGCCATAGACAGAGGTAAATTGCTTTGAACTTGGTCGAGTTATGAACTGACTAGCAACATATTTGGGCAATGATATGGTTGTATATGGGGATGAAGATCCTGGAGCAGACTGACTTGTACCTTGAGCTTGGGTAATTACACCATAGGTGGTACCTTGAGAAACGGAACTAGACAGACTAGGAGAGCTCTGATCATTAGTGGACTGGCCAGAAACTCCAGTCTTCAAAGCAAAGCTGCCACCTTCCCCTTGTGCAAAAACAATTTGTTTAGAACCACTTGAAGTGGATGATCCAGACAAGCCCTGAAGTGACGCTAAACCACTCATACCAGAAGCTGAAGAGGGGGTATTTGGAGATAGAGCTTGGGTTGTAGAGTCAGAACTGCTGGAAACACCACCTTTAACAACCTGAAGTAGATTAAACTCAGGTCTGTTTTCTGGCAAACTAGAGACCACTTCTTCAAGCAAAACCCCAGTGACAGGGGCTTCTGGCACAGAAGACTGGACCACAAGAGGCAAGAAAGTGTTTTCAGATGGCTGACCCCACCATTGGCCAGCATTTGGATAAGTTGAATCTAGAGAACAAACAAAAATACTCAATTTAAAAAAAAAAAAAAAAAAAATTTTGTACACATTTCTACACAAATATTTATTAAAATCTTACAGTGTCCATGTATATACACATGCACCTCAAGTCCTTTACATTAAACTGTATAAGGCAGCTCAATAGCTTCTGTAAAAAAACAGAGCTACACAAAAGCTTAAATTGTTTAGATAGTCAACTTAAAAACCCAAGTACTCACTCAAGGTGGTTGTAAACAAGCTTTAATTTTTGCTTAACACCAAAACTAGCTTAGAGAGTGTTAGAGATTTAAAAACGACTGAATTTTATTTAAAAAAAGAAAGAAAGAGTCACCCATCCGTTTGGTGAACAATTTGTTTACATCAATTTGAAAAAAAAAAAAAAAAAAGTTTTCATTTTATTTATTTTTTAGAATTTCGATTTGAGGTGAACAACCACTTTGTGCAGTCAAATGTCTGTGATAGGAAGGAAACCCTGCAATCAACTACTTACATGCATGAGCAGGAGCATTCTTCCAAAAGAGCAGGAAGACTACTAAAAAGGGTAACCTACAAGCAAACAGACATGGCATCATGACATTAATCAATTTCAAGAAACACAGAACGAACCACAACCACTGCAACTGATAAACTCACCTTTTCCACCTTTTATCCATGGCTTAATAAAACCAAGCAACAAACTCTAACACTGACTGCTTATTGTTCCAAATCCCCATAAACAACCCACAAATCCAAGCATGCAAAGTGTTGGAGGTAAATGTTTTTTATAGGCCATTCATTGAAATCACTAATTACATTAACACTGTTCACCTGGAAAAATCACTTGCTCTTAAACGATAATTAAATTTTTTTGTGAAGGGTCTGACCCCCTCTGCTGTTTAAACATTGTAAAGCAGCTAATCCCAGCCGTTCACTGTTTATTTTGTACAATTAAAGAGTTAATAAGTAAATGAATAATTTTTATAAGGTTTTTATATTTTTATTGCCTAATGTATCAATTTTGCTGGATTGTACATTGTATTGTATATTTGTTTACTAGTATTCTGAGCATCATTCGTTTGCCCACAACAAACCATGTGTTACATATTTTACATAGTTTTCATTTAATACATATCACTTATTGCATTCTTGGCACCAAATACATTCTAATAAACAACCAAAAATGACACATTTGCAGACAAGTGTAAAATAATCTAACAGTGCACAGCAAAAGAAGAAAAATCTATTGATCATTTCCTCAGACACTATTTAAGAAAGGGTACTAAAGCAATGCTGTTCGTACAGTGGTCTTCCATTACATTATCTTAGATTTTGGTGCATCAATTTATTAAATCGTTTACTTTAAGAAATTGTGATTCACATTGATCAGAGCAGTCTTCTAATTTCTTTTTATTTTAAATTCATTGCTGGGAAAAGACACAAACGTTTAGGCTCAAAGCCTTCACCAAGGTGCAAAGCAAATTATTTCCTCCTTTGCTAATTAAATAGTAAAAGAACAGCAAGAATCATTCATTCATTCATTTTCTTGTCGACTTACTCCCTTTATTAATCCGGGGTTTTTACACAGCAATATATCCATACACACATTCACACACACTCATACACTTCGGACAATTTAGCTTACTCAGTTCACCTGCACCATATGTCTTTGGACTGTGGGGGAATCCGGAGCACCCGGAGGAAACCCACTCGAACGCAGGGATAACATGCAAACTCCACACAGAAACGCCGACTGAGCTTAGTCGAACCAGCAACCCAGCGACCTTCTTGCTGTGAGGCAACAGCACTACCTTCTGCGCCACTGCTTCGCCCACAGCAAGAACCAATATAACATAATTCAGTTTTTGCTGTTTATCAGTGTATGAAGCAGAATGTATATAGGATCGAGTTTTAATATTTGCATAAATGTTTAAGCAAAAGACGCAACTATCGGGAATCTAATTTACATTTTTAAGTACCCAGTGCAGTGCTTTGCAATATACTGTACATTATCAGTACAACAGTGTAGTTATGTAGAAGTACACTACTTACAATTTAGCTTATTCAATTCACCTATATCGTATGTCTTTGGACTGTGGGGAAAAACGGAGCACCCGGAGGAAGTACGTACATTCATGGCACCAAAACAAATAATAAATATATTTCCACATGTATTGCCACGACCATAATTCACACTTTTTTATACAAACCATAAAATAATGTGACAAAAGAATGAACAAAAATAAATTGGTTAGTATTTAGCTTTCCTCTTGCTATATGGTAAACCACTGCTTTCGATTTAATATGGCCACTGTAGTTTTTATGCATTTTAATGAACATCTGGCTTTCACAATTTATTTCACATTTTCTCTTTAAAATATACAGTGAAAAGATTGTAACAGTTACAAATCCATACAATACATTAATCCATAATCTTAGCACTTCTGAAATAAAGAAACAGGTTGTAATTCACACTAGTAGCCATATTACTTGCACTAAAGTCTAAACTCTGTCTGGCCTTTACCACACCGACACAATTCTATTTTTGTACCCCATCCCCTTAGTCCTTACAACCGAGGGTGAAGGAGAAGGGCTTTAAAATTTACCACTAAGAATTGGGACAGCACTGCAGCACCTGCACATATCATCATATGTCATCGCGATCTCTTGCTTTATATGAGATCAGATGATTAAGACTGCTGTAGTGATTCCAGTTGTGCTATTTTAAGATATTTATCTTCAGGAAATCCCTGAAGGCATATATGTTATCATAACGATATAATGTGTCAATAAGATCCTAATACTGTGCATTAACACAATGGCCATATTCATCTAAACACACCAAAAACAACATTATCATTATAGCAGACGCTGTAAAAAGCCCATTCTCAGCCACTAGACATTACTGATAGGGTATTTGAGTGTCATCAAGTGTCAGAATGTTGTGGGACTGCTATCCAGGAGTTTTTATTTTAGCATTTATTTTTAAAACATGATGGTAAAACACTAGAAGTGTAGATGACAGATTAACGGTTGATTGAGAGAAAAGTGAATAAACAAGGAAGTAAGATTAATGTTTGGTGTCTCAGGGGTAAAACTCAGCCAGAGTGCTCTGAGGAATCAGGAAAACACATCTCAGTATTGAGAAGTGCATCAGAATAAATTAGGTACAGCCTTAAATTTTTGCGTTAAATCAAATTAACTTTATTTTCCCAGAGGGCATCCGCTGTGTAAAAACATGCTGGATAAGTTGGCGGTTATTCTGCTGTGGCGACCCTTGATTAGTAAAGGGACTAAGCTGAAAAAAATGACTGAAATTAACTTTATAAAACATTTAAAATTATATAGTTTCATTTTTACAGAGTAAGTAAGGAATGCCCAAACTTGTACTCGAGGGCTGATGTTCTGCATAGTTTAGCTCCAAATTACTTTAACACCTGCCTGGAAGTTTCTAATATAACTAGATTAGCTGGTTTAGGTGTGCCTAATTGGGGTTGGACCTAAACTCTACAGGACATCAGCCTTCCAGGACCAAGTTTGGGCACCCTTGGAGTATGTAATGATTGGGTATCTCCTTCAGATAGGTAGTATTGATCAAGCAGGTAGAACTCTACTGATGTTGTCTTTGTCTTTAACTGAGTGGAGTGGAGAAACTAGGGACTCACACGCCTCAGCAATGATAAGAAACTGATGGTCAGGTATTACGTATTGATGGCAGATGTCCTTCCAGAAGGAAGAGGGTGGTGATGGGCATAGATAGTTGGAAAGATGTTTTGTCTGTGGCAGGTGTTTCTTTTTCAGGTACTGGACACACAACATGCAAAAGAAAAAAAACCCTTAAGAGCATCAGTGTAAATTTATCAGCAGAACATCTTGTGCATTGCTGGAGCTCAGCAAGCATGTAGAGCTCTGCTTGTCCTTACTATGTCTTTTGCAGTTTAGACTGGGGCATGTGAAAAAACAGGAATCACACCTCAGCAGTGATTGGAAACTGAAGGTCTGGTTAGGTATTTCCTGGATTGATGGATAAATAAATAGATATCTTTTCAAGAGAAAGGGTTTGGAGATGAGCATAGATTGCTAGCTAAATATCTTGTTTGTGGCTGTTGATTCTTTTTCAAATAATTGACACAACACGCAGAAAGAGGAGAATCACAAGAGCATCAGTGGACATATATCTAAAAAACACTGGAGAACATGATGTGCTTTGCTCTTTTGGTACCCTTTTGCCATGCTAGGTACCCTTCCTAAAGGGTACCCAAAAAGTGGTACGGTACAATTGTCTTTTTTGTACCTTTTGACAGTGGAAATGGCCATAGAAGCATACTCAACCATACCGTACCACTTAGTGGAAACGGGTCATTAGTCTTGTTTTTGTCTTTTGCAGATTAAGCTGGGGCATATAGAAAAATAGCAATCACAACTCAGCAATGACTTGAAACGTATGGTCAGGTTAGGCATTTCCTGGATGGGTGGATAAATAGATGTCCTTCCAAGAGGAAAAGGGTGGACATGGGCTTAGATAGATAGAAGTCTTGTCTGTGGCAGGTGTTTCTTTTTTAGGTAATGGATGCCCACCATGCAAAAGAAAGGAACTCGCAACAGCATCGATGGAAATTTATCTGAAGAACATTGGAGAACATCCTGTGCATTGGTGGAGCTCAGCGAGCACGCAGAACTCTGTTAGTCCAGACTTTGTCTTTTACAGGCTGGAGTGCATCATATGGAGTAAAATAGGCATCACACACCTCAGCAATGACCTTTAAAAACAGACGGATGAGTGCATGGATGGATGTCCTTCCAAGAGGAAGGGGTGGAGGTGGGCATATATTGTAGATAATGGTACCACAACAGACAAAAGAGGGAGACTCACAAGAGCATCATTGAAAATAGCTGGAGAACAGCTTGTCCATTGCTGGAGCTCAGCAAGCAGGTAGGGCTCTGTTTTTGCAGTCTTTGTCCTTTGCAGATTGGAGTGGAGCAGCAGTAGGAGACTCACCCAGGATGTAGCTAGACCACATTTACTGTGGCATGTGCTAAGGAATCCTCTTCTTCATCTCCTTGAGGAAGAAAACATACTTGTCTTAACCTGGGGCCTGTTTCAAGGTTCAACCAACTCTGAGTTGAAACTTGAACTCTGAGTTGATTTACCAAGAGATTAAAAACTCGGTTTCAGAATAGCGGATCTGCGTTAGGTCAATCAAATTTGAGTAGACCAACTCAGAGTTAAGCGTGCACACAGCAACTATAAAAAGGCATTATCAATGGAGTGCAGATATTACGAGTGACTATGGCAACATCATAAAAAAGAGATTAGAATTTCTTTCTCCAGCTGAACTTGATGTGCTCATGCAAAGTTATAGCAGAAATGACTATATATTTTAAAAAGCAACACCACTGCATCAGTGAAACAGAGACAGTTAGCGTGGGAATTTAACGAATACATTTAAAGTATTTAAATATTTAAGTATAATATAATAAGTAATGTTATGTGTGACGTTTACTAATTTTTTTACACACGTTCCAACTTTTATACACGTTGATCAGGTTTATTAGGTTTAAAAGTGCACTTTTGTGTCTGCCTTTTTTGTTGATCAAGTGATAGAGGTTAAACTAAACTAGTTTTTAGAAAGAATATAATCCCATTAATCTAGTAACAGTACAAGTCCCTGTTGAAGTGAATTTAAGCTAATTATATATTAAAAAAGGACAAGCCATTCCTGTATGTGACTTTGTTCTTTGTGTGACTGAAATGTAGGC